TCAAAATCAATCGGTAGGTCAGCATATTTTTCATTTATTTATCAATCTTTTGTTTATTTAATAATATCTTTTTCAACATTTTTAAACGCCTGAGGTGTGTTTTTTTACTTTATGAAGTAAATCAGAGCCATTTTTCGGCTAATAATAGATTTTTTTTTGTTTTAAATTGACTTTTGGCGTGTAATAAACTCGTGTTACATTCGAGTAATCTATCACGAATTACTTAATTCCAGGTCGTAAGTCACCTGTTTGCTGTATAGACATGCATATACATGTGCATGCATAAAAGTATATATACTTAAATACTATCGCAAACGAAATTTTAATTTATGCCTGCCATTATCCCACCTACTCTCGAGTAATGGCATGCAAGGAGACAGACAACGAAAGAAGCTTATAAAATTATGTACTCACGATAAAAATATTCACTTTTTGCTTATTTTTTTCGCAACATTTACTACATGTGTAGTACACGAAAAAATTTTCATGTGGTATGAATAAATTTACTTCATACATGCATTTAGAGTAACGCATTTCGTCAAACTTTTCATTGCGATTTTGTTTAAAAAATTATTATGCTCAAATTTATGATAAAAATGAAAAGTAAAAAACAATGTCTTATAGATTTTGCAATTACTCATCTTAAATTCTTCACTAAAAGTTTTTTGAAACAACAACAAAGACTTGAAAAAAATTCATAAACAGTTATCATGAAGAAAAGCCTCGAAAAGTTTTTTTATTTAAATAATAATAATAATTTTTTAAAAATTAGTGATATTAAAATAAAAATGTGGTTTTAATTTATGCAAAGAGCAGTGGCTTATTTATATCCAAAGTGAAAATTGTATTATATATAGAGTTAATTAAACAATAATTTACTTAAAGGAAGATGTTAGAGGGTTAAATTTATAAGGCAGTAATTGCTCTGCTAACATATACGTCGTTTTCTGCATCTCACACGCTGCAATATTTTTTAGCAATAAGTGGTTTCGCTTCGCGTGCATGTCGATATTCACGAAACGCGTAAAATCCTGACTAGCGGTGAATAACAGCCACAAGTGGATGTGATAGAATAAGAAAATGCTTAATGTACACGAGAGAAAAAAATACACTGGAGATTTGTATAAGAACGGTCCATAAATTGTGAGAAATAATGATGTCAGCCTCTCTAATGAGCTTCAGGTGGGTGGGTTTATTCAATGTTAGATTTTTAACCCGTAATAAAATTTAATTTTATAATAATTTATATATTAAATCTAAATAATCACCTAATTTTAATCCCAATTACTTCATTGAATAATAAATAACTTATTTATTCAACAAAGCTCATCAGTTATTTTTTTCAGCATTCAAATAAATTTTTTTCAGCAAAATTTTAATAATTAAAGAATATTTACTAGTAGTAAGTAATAATTATGAATAAATAAAAGAATACATTTATTCATGAACATTTAAAATTGGAAAAATAAATTACAAGCATAATGATGAGTTTACGATGTGAATAATTAAAAAAAATAGAGCAAAAATAATCGAAACTGAAAACTGAAATGCTAATAGGTAGATATAAATAAACAAAACTGATGTTTAATTAATAAAAGTAAAAGTAGAAAATATTTATTATGCTTACAGTTAAGTATAATTAATTTGTGCACCGGATTTCAAAAATATCTGTAAACAATTTTTATCAGGGACGAGGTCGAAATAAACATTACGAATAAATATATATACTTGACTAAAAGAGCTGAAAAGCACGCGAGTTTTGTATCCGGAGATACTGGTTGCCGCACCTGTAATCCTCTCGAGTGCTCTGCATGCTTGCGTGGGCGTCTGATGATCCCATCGAAACACAGCGCGAGTATATATCCAACGACACGAAATCTCAGTCTCTATTTATTTTTTGATTATATCTCCAGGTGATAAAAAGAAATGATGATAATCTACGGTATCATTTTATATCCTCTCAATAATCCACTTGATTGCAAATTTTATATTATCCGAAAATAATTATTCGTATATTTTACTATTAAAGTCGCAAACAGAATTTCTAGTGAGCTGCTTTTTGCTCATTTATTTTAATCGTGGCACATTTATGACCGAAATATGGATCCCGGAATAAATGTTGTGACCATAATTAGGGCCAATGTGTTTTTTATTACTAGTTATGAGGAATGTTAATTTAAAGACTACACTGCCAAAATAAATTACTAAATATCCAAGTGTTTAAAAACTAAATACTTTAAATTTCTTATTACTAAACACTTGAATTTTTTTTTTCAATGAAAACTTTTAAAAGTCACGAGAATACGCCAAGAGTCTAGCGTGGGTGAATTTAGCAAGGAAAAGTAAAAAAAAAAAAAATTATAATTAAAGTAAAAGAAAAAATAAAAAATAAGACAGTCGTACTGTTTCACTGTCGAAAAATGTCTGGATGCAAATTGATTAATTAAACCGTAGTCTGTAGAACATGGCAAGCTGATTGAATTTCCGGGATCACAGCGAATTAATTAAAACTGCTCAAGGTAATTTGATTTACGTCGCGCGATATATGGTACACGCATAAATGTGTATGTATAAAAATCGTTATGTGTATATATAAAATACATGGATAGTTTGAAAAATATTTTCGGAGAATTCCCAAAGCCCTGGAGCATGCGGTTATTTTGACAGCCAAGGTTCATTGTGAGGTCAACGGGCCTTGCGCTTTCTCTTGACGTCCCTCCCGGCGCCACGACAACACAAGACGATGAGTCCAAGATATAAGAATAAAGAAGAAAGAAAGAGTTTAACGTGCACGCTTGCAAGAGCTCACGAGCTGTCCAGTAATGACCCATCTTGAACAAATTACCTGACCAGTCGGCATTGCGCGAGGTCGTGTGGCGCCTTTTCCTCCTTATTCGTCCTGTAGGACCGCCGAGTGTCACGCGCGCGACTCAATATGTAAGAGAATTCTTCTATTTAGAAAAAAACAATTCTTTGAGCTTGAGAACAGCCAGATTTTGTTATTTACCTAATAGAATTGCATCATATCAAACAACCCAAGAAGACAATAATAATTTTTCTTCAAGTTTTTTTTATAGAATAAAGGTAAGCATGAAAATGATATCAGGATGTTTACTGATATTCCAAAATAATTTTCAAGAGAATCAATAAATGAATGAAATTGAGATGTAGATACTTGAAATAATGGTGAAATAAAAAAAAGCAGGCCAAGCATAAGCCAAAAGACATGCGGTTGTTGAGGTCAACGGAACTATATAAGAACGAATTGTCTTCTTTTCAGTATCCAACCGAGCGAAACTGAGTCTCCAAAGATAATCGATTTGTATCGACTCTTCCGCGGGGTCTATAACACGCCTCGTTCTTATTCTTTGCAACTCGAATCATCGCAATGAACACAACAAAAAAGACACTGAAAAGTTGGTGTGTTTGGACGCATTTAAAAGATGTTACACGAGTCCAACAACAATGAAACCTGTCACTAGATTCGGGACGCCTATTGGGCACTAACTTTCGCCACGCTTTGCCTGGATAATTGTCCTGTGAATGGAGTGACGGTGTAAAAACGAGTACCACCTTTTTAAGACGTGATTGCACAGATAAAAAAATATATATTTGTAACGTCAGGTTTTCGAAAAATACCTCTTTGTTCACACTCACTATCTTGTGGATTAATTTGGATAATTATTGGCCAAGAAAAAAATTATTTTCATTTTTTTTATCAATAAAACTTTATTGAATTTCCAATAAAAACTTATTGTAATAGAATTAATTTTTGAATTATTGAAATTCGTACGTACGTACGTATGTCTGGATGATTCAATGACTATTTAGGAATTTAGGAAAAAAGTATACAAATCGTTACACCTTAAATACGCCAATATCGTTCACTTCCATCAATAAAATTATGCTGAAAAGTAATTAAGAGTGACCTCAATATTGAAGTATTATTAAAAACATACTAATCAGCACACATCTCTCTAGTTCATCACCGTCATAAGCAAATTTCCCTTGACAGTATATTTAACCCTTCCTTTTTCTAATCTGATAGCAACGTGTAATAATTTACTTGGCTCACTGTTACTGTTATGCAAGATTTAATAGGGTAATAATGGCAGTACGAACAAATCGAGTGCCCGGTAACGCAGGGTGGAGCTCGTCACGATTGAACTGACGTAAGCATCTTGTTGCTCTTCTCGTGATTACTTGCTCTAAGCGTACACAACCGCAGGCTAACGTCGAGGTGAATCGACCTGTGAAATTCGCTAGAGAATTAAAAATATCTTTTTGCTTATTAATTATTCATATTACCAATACACTAGATTATTTCGATCACAATCACTTTCTCTCTAGCTACTTCATTTTTAGTTTCTTGAAATTTTTTTTGTGATGATTCATGGGACGAATGTGGATGGATTTAAGGCAAATATCACTGTAGAATTAGCAAGAGTTGCAAAATAAGAGAAAATTCATTAAATTATTGGTGATGCACCAGCGATGATGGAGTTTGTAATCATTAGTGGCGCAATAGGACACCGCAAAATCCACAGTTATCAGTGATTCACAATTATGAGTGATTATCGGATTGTTTTTAGCTGATTGAGGGCTTCTGAAAGTTACAGATAATTTTTTTTTAATCTTACTTTGGAAACTATAGGGTCATTGATGGCAGAAATAAATATTTTAAATCAATAATATCATCAACAACAATAAGGGAAATTTGATACAAAAAATAATCAACCAGTCAAATAATTCTTTCTAGACTCAATAATTACTTCTAGATTAAATTTTCGATGAGAAAAAAACAGTATTCCAAGTAACAACAAGCTAAATTAAGTCTAACTCCTGGATGTAATTATGAATAAAAAATTATTTTAACTGAATAGAGTTCATAAGCTCTAGAAAAACATATATAATTCGTTAAAGAAATATTTAAATAATTAAAAAACAATTTTCCCTACGGTTAATAATAACCACAAAACTCAGTTTTGTTTTGTTTTCAGGAAGTAGATCACCTGCTACGGAACTGACCATAATCATATCACGTGTGGGTTACGGCTGAGAGAATTTGGATAAGATATACTTAATTCCAACACACACGAGTTATCCCCTAGGGTTTTTACAGTACAATTTATAATAGACTTTATACAGAACACTTTAAGTGTATCCTTACATGCACTCATTCTATGTTAACACTCACCCGGAAGCAACAGCATTACAGGGGTGCAGCAATGTAAGGTGGTGTAGAGGAAATGACTGTCCACTTCACAGCCTAGTTTCAACAGTTATTATAAACACAACGAAAATTATTTAAACATCAAAATACTGTTTGAAATGCATCGAATACATCCGTCAACTTCATTGGTTTATTTCAAAAGGAACTGCACATTTGCTAAATATTTATTTACCAACACTTTCTTTTCTCAATTCAATTTTTTACCAGTACTTTATTACTTACTGTCTTTCCAATGACTTGACACAAAAACAATTGAATTATCGTCTTACCAAAGTGACATGTCAAGCTATCATCATAATTTACATCAATGACTAAATAAATTTTTTTTGGAAATACACAAGTACACCATAAACACCTTAACTTCTCAGAAAAATAGACTGAAGATTATATATACTCTAGACTCTATTGAAACTCATCGAAAAAGTAGCAATTGAATTGTTGAATACAATGTAAATAAGCATTCTTTAATGCGTAATTACAGTGGCAGTAAATCTATTCAAATTCCTTGAGAATTTCCAAAAATAAATAGTCGTAACATAATTAACACTAAGATATGCCAACTAGACTCTTTTGACTCCTAAGAGCCATACAGGTAGCTGAACCTTGCTTACTCGGGCTCATTATGTTAATGCAAGTTAAGCGACCTAAAATTTGCTTCAGGTAATGACTTGGATCTCAAACTTTACTTTGTTCTCAATTTAACAAGGTTGGTGATAAATTAGTCTTACTTACTGACAATTGGTATGTCTAGTACTAGTTATTAGACTATTTATTACTTTAAACATTGATTTTATTTAAAGTCAAATTGAAATTTGGCCATTTTCTTCAAAAATTCTAATGATACGTTACTAACCACTAGAACTTGATGAATGATAAAAATTCAATAATGTTGTACGAATTTAAAAAAAGGAATTAATATAATAATCAGGGCAATGTGAAGCTGTGCAAAATACTGAAGAAAAGAAACGAATACATTCGTGAAGTAAAAAGAAAGATATTGAACATATCTTGTTGCACAATGATCTCTCGGAGGGTCCAGCAGGTCGAAGAAATCGAGGACGTCCATCGATCTCATGGCGGCAGATATGTCAGACTTATCCGATTCCCGTGTCACCGAATTATACAATATACAATATACACATGCGTGAGTAGGACTTGGAGAGAAAATAACATGAATAATATAAAGAAGAAAAGAATATGTTTGATGGTAAGGGGTAAAGTGTTTCGTGGTATGACGATAAATCGTGGGCGCGGGGTCGGCGCCATTCGCGTCATGAATCGCAGAAAGCATCGCGTACACTGCGACGTAACTCGCACGATCACGCGCCCAGGGGGGCACAAGTAAAAATATGGGGTGTCTTGGAATAACAGCACCGGTTTATCCTGCATATCGCCATGACGTTTATAAGGACATGCACCAAACTTGTTGCTTGTCGTGTCGTTATCGACGAGTTTGTCAGTGAAATAATCAAATCTTTCTGACCATTTTTCATAATATCGACTCAGTGCTATACCTTTAAATTCAAAAGTTGCTCACTTAGCTGTCATAGAAACCCTGAACAGCCTTAATTATCAACTACTATCAACAATAAAATATTCATTGATAAAGTATTGAAGAATTACACCAGAAGTTCTACAGCTTGAATTATTAATCTCCAATTTTAAAGAACTCTTCATTAAAAAAAAAAAAGTACCAGCAACTCATTTTTAATGTGTATGATAAAATCAAAAAATTAGAAGGCCTAATGTTACAAAAAAAAAGTATATTTAATTAGGCAGAGAAAATGATAGTTTGGAGTTGGCTTGTATGAAGCATCAGAAGAAATAAATCGTAAATGGTCCAATCAAGTCAAATTTTCTGAGCTCAATGAAGTAAAGGTATTCCCGAATGAGTATTTGATGCAAGCAGTGCAGCTCTTACTAAATAATATACTCATATATATTATTTTAGTGAGGGGCTTACAATGCATCGTATCTGATTTGACCCCAAGGGATTCCTCTGGAAACAAGCGCATGCACACTGAGCCAGTGAAAAAATTTAAATACATATATATATACTTATAAAGTATGTAGTATATAATGTATATATCGGTAGATAACATAATGCAAGAAAAGGTAGAATCTGAGATATTCATCTCCTGGCCACTGCACTGCACTGCTTCACTATATTACACAAATATATATTGTGTTATTATTCAGGTCGTGAACTCGAGATCTAAGGATTATCGATTCCGATCGAAGATTCAGAGTAGTGAGATAAGAACCACTACAGATCGAATATAATATAGGAAATATGATTTCTAGAAATAAAGGAGAGATAAAAAGCTGAATTAAAGATAATGTTGAAATATTTTTTTCTTTGTATTGGAAAGGAAAATTGTTTCGAAGGTTGAAGTTTTTTTTTTTTAGAAAAAAAGCTTTACGAAAAAGTGTTTAAAAGTATTTTCGACTCTTGTTTTAATTTGATTAAATATCACAGAAGACTGTAAAAATTGGTAAATATTTATTGATGCTCGAGTTCATGAGAAAATGATGGCTAAAATCTTTTGGAGAATTTATGGAAGAGTAGAAGCGATCAAAATCTTTCATATTTTACTTTAAACTCCAAATATTGACTCTGAAAGTGAAATTTCACTTCATCACTCCTCTCTATCTACATAGAAACAAGTTCGAATGTGACTTTGGTCACACGATACCACACTTGGGTACAATCTATACACATAATTGCTGTGTCTGTTTCCCGTGAGGGCTGCCGTGAGAACTGGATGTTGTTATAGTCATAGCACAATAATATAATGCACTATAGTAACCTGATGGTAGTCTCACTAAACAAAGAGGCCAAGGGAAAACGTTGAGGAACATTTATTGGGGTAGTTGAGAGTTTCAACCCCGATACAACTACAGACCTTAAGATAGCTTAGGGGAAATTCCAACAAGTGGTTTTGCCATAGCTTTTGCATATTCAACGCTTGGAGAATCGTGAGGTATAGCATGAATATAACAACAACTAAGTGTAGATGCTGGACTATTCTTGTTATATTCGTCAATTACTAAGACCTACAGGTACCAGACGAAAGCTATTCATAGTCTTTCTACAAGAATTATGCATTTAGGGCGAATATAGAAAAATAATAGCTAATAGACTCTTTCTGAGCTAACGAATGTATACGTCTTTTCATGGTAATGGCAAATGTTTAGGGATATTGGTAATTTCTTGATGCAAATAATTTTTGTTTTACTCACTCAAATAATTTCTGTAACTATAAAATATTTTGAAATATTATTAAAAGTCATTTAATAATATTACTATTACGAGTTTTTTATATGTTGATTAATGATGACTTGGTTCTTAGAGACTAGAATAAAAACTTTGCTTTGATAAGGCAGAAATTTTTAGGAAAAAATGGTTTCATTGTCGGGTTCTAGAAACGTTACACAGTTTCCTACTTACAACAGGAGTAAAATATTGTTAAATAGAACTAGATAGTAAAGATAAATGTGTTATTTAATAATCTTGTTGAATTTAGATCATCTAGCTAAACTACTGTAATGAAAAGTAAAACTAGTTAACCATCAAAAATTTATATCGAGAAAGATAGTATTATAAATCAGCTAATTATCTTCCATGAACCACACTCATTGTCAAAGACTGATTCTAAGGTATTCATGACCATTTAAACCCAACGACCAACAGTATAAGTAGTTATCTTAATGATTCTCACCTTTTGAAAAGCTATTTAGGACCAACTAAATAGAACATCATGCTATGATCCTTTTTTCAATACAGTGTTTTCCAATTTTTCCATGTCAAGTCTAATGCGGGTTGCTGGTGGCATAGTATGGTATTACAGGTTCTTTATTACTCTGCTGACCAACGCTTGAACCTTAATGACCTCTCGTTCTCATACAACTACCAACAATTGACCGAACATTTCAAACTTTCCCAAAATACTGTCGGGATTTTCCTCTGGTCATTCAGCTCGTTCTTAAATTCTCAGGTAAATATCAATGTCACTTTCCTCAACACAATGACTAGGAAGTATTGATCGACGTTATTTGAAACTCCTAAGAGACACTAGACAATCGATTGACAGCAGAACTGCAAGTGAATTTTTGAATAGAAGCTAGAGAATAGGAGCAGGAAGAATGATCGATTTTTTTGAGACATCAGAATATATTCGTTATATCGCTTGGTGCTATAGGGGTGTATTGAGTATAAAGAAGATACTTCGATGAAAAAATATGGAGACAAAGTAAGTAAGAAGAGAATTTTTAACAGGAAGATATTTATCAAGATGCTTTTAATATCAACTCAATGGGGTTTTTAATAGGAAAAAAATTGAAAAAGTGTCACAGAAATATTTTTTTCTTTGATTTTCAATGAATTCGAGCTTTCAAATCAGTCATGTTTTACTTCAGAATGTTGAAAACCAGCTTAGCTTCAAATCGAAGATTGACTTTTAGAATTGATTACATTTAATCAATAAACCACTTATTATTCTTCAATCTATAAATCTAAGACTGAAAATAATTCAATAGTAAATTTAATTAAGTCATTCTAATATGTAAGAAGCTCTTTATTATTGTTATAGAGCACGTAAGTAGTTTTAAATCAAGTTTATTAGATTTCATAATAAAAAAAGGTTGATAAAGCCAATTTTCCCACTAGCTGACATGACAAAACCATTGTTTAAATAATTCCACTCTCCTCTGAATGCATGCATGAAAAATGCAAATGATGTAAAACGACGATAAGTACCCAACAATTCCTTGAACTTACAGAAAACGTGTCCCAAGTATAAACTTCACCATCAAGAGTTATTGTACGTCCATATGGCTAGTACGTGTGACAATTGATAACACCAGATGTAGATAAATCATCAAGTGACGTAAACTTTCTTCTCAGATACCATCAATTTCTCTTGAATCATCATCGTAATCAGTTCTTATCTATCGCAAGTTAATCTAATAAAATATTTTCAAAACTGATTACTTGGATTATTTATTTCTGATGCAATGTTGTTTATGGAAGACCAAGATGTGCCTGGTGGCAAATGATTTTACAGTTGAACAAGAGGATGAGAGCTGTTAGGAGATTTTGGCTTCATTAATGCAGGTGCAGGTACGACGATTACCAGACTCAGAACTTGACCAAGTGTGTTCCATATGTAACACATTGGCTCTACTAGTCAACTGGTATAATAAACAGGTACTGTAATCCCGGTAAGTTCTTAAGTAAATTTCCAGCCATATGTCCACCAGACGCTTGTTTTCATGCTAATTCTTACTATCTTTACATAAAAATTTAAGTCTAACATTTTATGTTATTTATTTTTCTTATTAAGTTACGTTTCTTTTTCAGATAATCTTCAAGGGAGGTCATTATTTATTTAATACACTATTATACCTATTTTTTATCAATAAAATTATATCCAATTGTTTGTAAAATGACTTAAAAATACGAATACAACAAACTGTGGTAATATAAAATGAAGGTGGCAAGAGGAAAGTAAAGAAGCAAGAAGTGATTAAAATAGCAACAAAATAAAAAGAGGTGTAAGAGGAGGAAGAAAAAATATGAGATCGATGAAGTGCATCGGCTATTAAGATATTTGAATACATAATATGAAGTACATAGAAGCCTGAGTAGAGGGATATACGTCTGTCGGGACCTACGTCGTCGATAAGCGACACGAGCAGGGGACGCCCCTTAAGGACTTTATCGCCATCGGCGCCGATAAAACGTTAACTGAACATGGACCCGGCTCTCTTTACTTTTTAAACTCAACCATCATCGTTAGTGTTATACGTCATATCCTTCTTTACTTATTTTTACGCGACCGTCTTCATCTGACTGGAACTCAACAGTCTTATCTCAGATTATTTAGTGTTTATAAATACGTTTGAATAAACATGTGCAGGAAATTCATTTTTTTCACGAGAAAAATAAATGAAAATTGAAATTCACTTCTTGACTTGTTTTTCTTTTATTAAATTTATTTACATTATTTTTTAACCAACGTGTATCGAGATTGATATATTTATTTATTATTTAAAAAAGTCTACCTTAATAATGGGTTTTATTTAATGTATTTATTATAAACAATTATTAAATATTTCTGCAACAATAAATTTCCTTCAGTGTATAAAAATTTTCAAAAGGCGAGGAAGAGTGATAACGAATATTTGGACGGTGGCAGACATTTAAAAAAGTTGAAAATAATAAATAAATAACAGGAAAAGCTTTTAAATTGACAGTTATATCAAGATAAGACGATCAAATAAGCACACGACAAAAGCTGAGTGTTCTCAAATTACTTGATTCCAGTTTTCTCGTGGCGATACTCGAGTCTTGCACGTTGATTCTTGCGGCAGATAAGACCGCGGTGTCTCAACCGGGTGGTAGTTGTCTACAGAACTGCCGTAATCTTTTTTTAATTTCCTTTTTGTGCTTGCAAAAATAATGAAAAAAATATTTAATTTAATCAAGACATTATAATGTCCCATTTTAAATGATATTTACATTTTTTCTTGCACTTCAATTTTTTTTTTATGTATCTGTCGTTTGTTAAATATTTAAAAGGGAATTATTTGAATATGTTGAAATGAAAAGATAAAAAATAATATGAACAAACGAATAGTCAGAGTTACTGCAGGCCATTCATGTCGGCCAAGAATATTTTGGCAAATTTATGCCCAATAAAAATTAACCAGACCCTTGACTCGCGTAGTCTCTCATGTAATGCGGTTACGCGACGTTTAACGACAAGGTGGCCCGTCAATCCGCATTCGTCCACATATGAGTTTGTCCGGCATACATTCACTCCTTGCACTCTAGAGAAAAGACAGCACTCGAGAAAATATCATTGGTCGGCAACAACATAAAAGGCTACATGATTTACCGCTAAATCGTCCCTTGGGTGATTTTTTAATTCTTTTTCGGAATTATTCTCAAGTTTAATCTTTTTTTTACACTTCTTCTTCAAGAGCAACTCTTACAAAATCAAGAAATGATGGCCTTGCTTTGAAAATTTTTCACAGATGTTTTAGTAGAGATAAAATAATTTTCTCTACCATAGTCATATGATAATCAGCTTTTATTAGAGCTTTTTAAAAACTAAAAAGTCAGAGCTTTTAAATAAACAATACATCAACTCAATCGGCCGATTTTTTATAGAGATATAAATTTTTAAAAATTCTGAAATAATTACAACTAGATGGGACTCAAAGCAACTTTCTCCATAAAAGTCTTGGTACTTTTACGAATAATTTTTATTACCTAAACGACTGTCTAACGACACCTCTCCCTAACAGAATAGATGTGCGCACATAAATAAAATGTATAGACAACCGATCCATAACAATATTTAGTTATTATTATGATCATCATTACGAAGAGCGTCGACCATAAATCAGGTGGTTTACTTATGTATAATTTAGGGATTTTTCAGACGGTAATACTTGCATTTGCTGTTTTAAGATGAACACTATATTGCTGTTATGAAGGTGCTTTACCAGCAAAATCACACGCATAAATATCTGACGGTATAAATGCGCACCCGCGATGCTCTTACACGCATGCTCAGGCGACGCGAACGGCTTTATATTGCTGCCAAATTACAGTGTGGCCACCCATAATGTGGCCGCAAGCCGTACGAGGGTTGGACTGTGGTAATAATGTTGATATTATAACAACGCCAGAATGTTCCGAACTCGACGACTACGCTTCTGAGGATGAATTATGGAATTGGGGATTTGTGTTAATTTTTCTCAGTTATTGATTTTCGGGTATATGCTTGAGTGATCGTCAATTTTTATTGAATTCTTCATTTTTTACTGCTTCAAATATTTTTTTATGAAGTCTTATTAACCCTTTCTTTAACTGCATTACGCCAGCCAGACGACGCACACTTAAAACAAATCTTTTTTAGTTAAAAATTTATTTACTATTTATCATTAATTAAAAAAAAAAATAAATAAATAAAAAACTATTTTTCAATTTAGAATGCTTGCGTATCATGAAATAAAATTGTTCATTAGACAAATTTTCTTTAGTGTCATTCATCGAGGTCATTAATTGGCTTTTACGATGGTCGAAAATGAAATAGCTCATTGCAACCACAGTGAAAAATTAGCAATTGTAATGCCATGAGGCAAGTGAAAGATGAGAGACAGAAAAAGTGAGAGAAAAAAGAAAAAGTTTAAGAAACAAGACATAAGAGACAGTTAAAAAGAAAGGGAAAAATTATACAGAGGGATAAAGCGAAGAATACGGGACCTGAGAGGGTCACGAGGATTTCATTTGACTGAATAACGTAGCGTTTAAGAACCAGTACCGTTATTGTACTCTGTTTTCTCTTAGTCTCTTCCCTTTTTTTCCAATCCCTCTCATTCCTTTTTTTCACCGCTCATCAGGCAAAATATTTAATTATTAATAAATAAAGAAATCAAAAAAATTCTTGTAAATTAGCCGCCATAAAACATCCCCAATATGTTTTATTCAATTAAAATTGAATAATTGACACCTTTAACCCCTTCCTTCATTTTACAGCTTTTTATTTTCAATTTTGTTCCTTTCAACTATATAATTTAAAAATTCACGGTCAAACAATTTTCGCAGAAGATAGCGATAAAAATCGTTGAAATCGATGGATCACGTTTTAAAATCTCAAGTTAAATGCCCGAGAGATTCTTTTCGTTGGAGCGAGATCAAACTTCGACGCCTCTTCGATCTTTTATACTCATGGGTCGTTCCACCGGTACTTGAATTCCCTTGCATCACTTTTATTTTAGTTATTTATTTGTTTTTTTTTTTGCATGCGCGGGCGTATACAAAAACACTGGATGATGTAAATGAAAACAAGACGAAATAATCGTTTATAATATCAGTGACGATTGGATATAAAATTTCCTTACAGACTAATAAGTTGCCAAGTAATTATTAAAACGTCATTAATCATCACTATTTATTGCTGAATTGTCTAATAAATTTTCTTTTGTTAATAAAAAAAATGATAAACACACGAAAAATAATTTTTAAAAAATGCCAATATTTACTTTTAATTTTAAAATTCCATATCTCTAGTTATTCTAGTTATTGATAAAAAATATAATTTCCTTAATCGTGAAAAAAATTAATAAAAATATTTGATTGTTTAAACAAAGTGGAAGAGGGAATAATAATTATAATTATGATTAATAATGAGTAATGTAATGAACGAAAATAACGTAGAAGGAAGAGAATGTAATAATAATCTCCGATGTTAAATGATCATACCTCGTTTTATATTTCTCTTCCGGACGATTGCACACTTTTGCCTAAAGGCAGATCACGACCTGTGCGAGTTTATACCGATGAGATCGGTAGATCACTACCGATGTAGATCGCCAGTGCCTCGGGTACTAAGGAAGAAATCCACTCCCTTACTATCAACGTAACTCTAGTACTTTACTCTCATATTTATACACAGTACGCTGTCATATATTGCGCAGCGAATAATCATTACGATTAAAAGAAATGTGTTGTTGAGCTTGAAAATTGATTTTTTTTTGACATTTTTAGTAGCAAGAATGAGTATGGTTAGATGCACTAGAATCACAGGCATTGTCCTATAACAAGAGTGCGCATACAAAATCAACACGATTCCATAGCGTCGTGCTGCTGCGCCTACACGATGCCTCGGGATACTTCACTGTAAGACCCAGTTTCTCACGGATTTCATCGACATGTGTCACTAACTGATATTGACTTTCTTGTAGGAAAGATTCTCTCACTCTTACTTACATAAAGAAAATAGTAAGAATTGCTGATTGTTGATAAAACTGCAGTTTAATATTTCTTTCCATCACTGATAGCCTCAATCTCTTTTCTTTTCTTTAAAAAATCATATCTTTTATAATTATCATTTGATGTTTGTAAAAAATAGCTTATTTTATAGCTTTAATTCTCTCGTTTTTAAAACACTATAATAAAATTTTGTTATCACGTGTTGGTGGCCTTAAAAAAATTCAAAAATACGATGATAAAGGTGAGAGAATTTTTAAAAATTTATTAAAATATTCAATTAGAATTCACATCTTTAAAAAATTATATCTCTTGTAATTATGAATCGATTTTAAAAACTCAAAGGGCATCTTAAAGTTTAATTTCTCTCGTTTTTAATCAGTTTCGAAAGATTATTTGATTTTAACTGAATGTTTTGTAAAATATTCCCAAAAAAAGGTCATCCATTTAGTTAATGATAAAACCAATGCAAAGAATATCTGTGAAAAAAATTTCATCGCAAATAAATAATTTATTTCTAAAAAACTTCTTGAACAACAATTCGACATACAACTAACACCTCGCCTTTATACAATCTAGCTCGATATAACAGGTTCGCGGTCACGACCGGACCACACAGCATCTCTGTGACTTCTCAAAGGCTGCCTATAAAGTTTGGTCAGCTTCAAACTGATTCATTCATCGATTCAAGTTTCTCATTCTTCTAGCATCTCATCATTTCCTCATTAATTTTTTTTTTTCAATTAATAATCCTTCTGATTATTTTCAGGACTTTCTTAAATTATTATCAATTTCTTCTCCAACCCAGACAACAAATTATCTCGGGATTCCGTGTTTTGAATAACGACATGAGGAATCACATAATTAGCAGAATAATCATACATTTGGGCGTTTCCTAAATGCGCGCAATCTTTCGTCTGGTGATCACGCAGGCGCGTAACGTCAGTCATCGGCCAATCGTCGACACGTATTGTCATTGAAAAGAGAGGGTTATCTCTGGATACTACTCACATCGCCTTAACAGCACAATTTTGCATTCAATCGCTTACAAAAAATCCTTCCATCTCCGAAACGTTTTATTTTTTACCTTTGCTATTTACAAATACCCTAAAATGGCACAACAAAATTACTACAAAAACTCTAGGTATGTTTTTTAAAAAAAAAAAATTTTGTACCAACACAAACCTGAGTTATTGAGCTGTCAAAGCTCAGAAGATAGTGCTAACTTCGAACGAGCATATCTCTGTGAGGAATGATGACAAAATTTTTAAAAAAATATATAATTAAAGGTCAAAATATCATCTTTAAGATAAATTTTCAGAAAAAATTCTAAGAATAATTTTCTAAAAGTTATGTCGGAAAATGTTGATAAATTGGTGATAGCTTTGATTGATTTTTTCTGAGGTAAAAAGTAAAAGATAAAATTTATTTCTCTCACGTAGAGTTAGTTAAAAAAAAAGGGGGAAAATGTGAGTGGATCAAAGAAAAATAAGTACACACACGACTTTCGTGAAAAAAATGCACTTATATCAAGGACATTAGTGCCTATGGGTACTTAAATCAGCACAGAGCTGTAAGTCTTGTACTCAGTATCTAAATTGGCCAGACTATGTATTTATCAGCGCGCAAAAATCGCCATTTATACAGGAATAAATGCCTACTTTTCGTGCGGTGTGAGTTAATGATTCTCATAATGACTTTGGATATGCTTTTAGGGAAATTTGCAAGCTTTCATATCAACTTTACTTATCAATACGTTGAATTATGCATGATAATATCACTTTCAATACATTCTCTGTACATTTTTATCGTATTCCGAAATATCATCATTCATTGATTTTCGTCTTGAAATTATTTTAAGATTAATACAGAAAAGGTCAACATGTGGAAAACACCTTCAGTATTATTTAGAATTCGGTACCAGTAGATTTGGTGAGAAAACAAAAGTTTATGATGTTGTATTGTAGTAGTGTACCTTTCTACCTAGAGCCAGGGAATTTTGAAGGTGCAGGATGTGACCAGCAGCTCCACATGTTGGCCAGAAGTGTACAGAATTGATGGGATTTATGTGCAATCTTGCTAATTCAAGGCCTACGATATGCAAGACGAGTACACAAGTGTGATAAAAATGCAAGAAAAAATCTGCTGGACATATGGAGTATTTTTGAACGTGCTAATGCGTGAGAATGTGAATACTTGGATGGGAAAATATTTCTCATACAAATGAACAGCTTTAAAATTATGTTGTTGATTAAAATCAAGCCATGAAGTTTTTCAAAGCTCTAAAACCACAATCCTGACCATCAGATTGAAAAAAAAAAATGTTTTAAGAATACAGAATCCATTTTTTTACAAACTTTTTCGCAATGTTTCTGCTTATAAATGACAACCGGTCATCAGGTGGGAATTAGCAAAAGCACCGCTTTGATTCGCATCGCATTATTATCCGAGGTGTGGCGTGTTCAGGCGTGTAGGTGGTCCTTAGAGTGTCGAGCGTGTAAGGTACGTGTAAAGTGCGCTTTCTGTGATCTCGGTTCTCACTTTGTGACATTAAATTGTGTATGACGCGTAATATAGATCAACCATAGGTTGTATTAAGGAGAGAAAACTAAAATGCCTTCATTTATAATTTACAAATAATTTTAAAATGCTCCTCGAGGGCCATTGTCACTTCTTTTCACCTCTGTGGAGAGCCAGAGCTTTTTTCAGCAACTATTTTACTAAAGATAAAAAAAAAATGTTGGACAAACCTCTTATAGACTAGAGTTGGTGTTATGGAGAGTAGTATGGTGTAGCATGCACCCTAGCTTTCGAGATCCAACTGATTGATAATTAAAGACGAGTCACGGTGATTGTTTAGTGCAGTGATCTTGTCAAGAATCGCATCAGTAGCAGACCTGGGCTTGTTGCAGTTTTTTAAAACAGCAATTAAGATGATAGTGAATTTTAATCAACTGGCGATCTCGATTGTTGTTGATCTTACGTGTGTGATATCATAGATAACATCAGGGATATTTTTTTCTAGCAAGTATTTGATGGTGGTAATAGACAAAAAAATCTGTAGAAACCTGCTGACCTCCAAAGATCAAAGCGAGAATTTTACTTTAACAAAATACAGATTTTTCGAGAATGACATTTGTGTTGGAATCATTTTCCCACACTGTTTGACATATACTCACGTAGTAACATGTGGATATCAGGTGGTTGAAAAATTCTACGATGTTAATATATTTGTGCAGAATAAATGAAAAATAACGAGGCTCCTTTAAAACTTTTGTAAAATCATCGTAGACAGAGTTTCTTAATTTGATAATGTTAATATTAATTTTTTAGGGGGTTTAAAAAATTCCATTTTAGCTAAGAGGAGATTTATGTATTAAGTATTCCTAGTAACATGAATGATCGACAGATAATGTCACGAAACCAAGGTTGCTGAGATATGAGGGTTGAAAGATAAAAAAATTTGCTATTTACGAATTTTATCCTTTTTTAAGGGTACAAAAATTAATTTTTTAAAGCTCCGATCTGATTCGGCATTTCTAGGTTTTAAAAAGAAGAGGATGAGAGATCGAACTTAAAAATTGAAAGCTTTTAATTTCTTAGCCAATTATTTGCCATTATTAAAAATACGGAATCAGGTGAAACTATTAAAAAAATTAATTTCCATCAGAAAATAAGGATAAAACCACATTAAAAGCCTTTCGAAATGACTCTGGAAGATGATCAACAGAGTAAGTTCTCCTATCGTGCCCGTGACTGGTTTTAATAGTTGAAATAGTTATTCAGAAGTGTCGACGAGTGTCACATGATTGGCTTGGCCGTTAAATTGCAAGTCGTAAGTGCAAACGTGCCAAGATCGAGATCGACGATCTGTAGAGCGTGGCAGAGATGCACTTGGGGACGAAGACCACCAACATACTGATGATGATGATGATGATGATGATGGTATACGAATAACCGCAAGAGTTAGTTTCTTGAGACCCAGTATATATATTCACATATTCACTGGGCAGCCGTTAACCGATTGTCGTCTACTCCAGACCGCACTCAAAGTCTGTAATGACACCTACACTTTATTGCATTGACGATATTTCTACGAACTCAGGTGTAACATTTATTATTATAAACATATTCATTGAGACTCATCCTTTCACTCGGATTCATTATCATATTGTCTTGACGTTAATTTCTTTATTTTTTATATCATTTAATCTCTGAATTATTTAAGATTAAATCGGTTAAGGAGGCGTTTTTTTTAAATTTTTTCATAAGAATTATTTTTAAAAGCTAGAAATATTTATTTGTCCGTGCTTTTAACTTATGCTGTGGAGTATCATGAATAGATAATTAAATTTATCTAGCCTTTTTTTATTTTGAAAATTAATTTTTTTGGAATGAAAGTTTGAAATGTCAACTTCAAAATGAACTTGAAATAAATCAGGTTAAGTTATTTTTCAGGGCAGTTTTTATCAATTAAACGATGAGAATAAAATGTAAGGCAACAAGTGCAGTTAGTTAATGCATTAAATCTCAAAAAAACTGAAAAAAAATCCAAGAATTGTAAAACGTGTTTTTGTGAGAATTCTTCTTGCTCCTTCCGGTATATTTTGATGTATATTATTTTTCACTAAAGAATTTTTATATTGCAAACTGTGGAGTCTTTGTCACCTTTGTGCTTAGTATACTCAGAAAAATGTCAAGAAGAATATGGTTTTTATAAAGAATAGAAGAAAACGCACCTGTTCGATCACGCCTGGTTTCTGCATTTATGAAAGCATTAGAGAGAGATAGTGAGTGTTTAAGGTTTGCCCATAGCTCATATAAGAAAAAAGACTTGTGTTCTGTCTTTTTCTCTTGTTACCTTGGGTACATACTTACTACGTTGCCAGACTACACCAAGACTAGAATATTGCATTGAGAGTCTCAGTCAAGATAAACTGCTGTATGAAATTGTCGTCGTTGAAGCGACAAACCCACCTGTCGTTTATAGTGAATAGACTGACCGGTAGGTTCATTCAATCAACGACTGAGTCTTTTTGCAATTAGTTATACTCAACACTTGCTTGCTACACATTTAAATATAGAAATTGTTTAGTTTATATAGATTTTTTTCCTTCTTTTTTTCCAACAGAAGAAAATTAAAATAACTATTCTGCAGTAAATCGTGTTTATTTTTAACTCATGGTAATTAATTAATCGAATTAATTGCTTTTAATTTAATTCATTGCTAATAATTTCATTAATCTCATGAATAATAATAAATAAATGTTAATAGTAATGAGTAATAAACAACTATTAAACATTGAATAATAGTAAGAAACATTTCTCAAAGTAAATAATAATTATTAAGTTTGTTCTTTAATTATTCAATTGATATGAGTCTATGATCAAGTTCATTTATAATAAAAAATCTGAATTTTTTCATTATAAGATTATTCCAATACTTTAATTGTCTAAAAAATAAAAAAATTATAAATATAGAGATGATTGGATAAAGGTGTAATAGAGTAAGTAGTACAATAGCAGTGATTAACGAAAATGATTGAGGAGTTTTTTTTTTATTACGTCAGAAATCGATTCAATATTTGCAAATGATAATCATTATAATAAATAAGGTGTGTCTTGAAGCACTTAACTTTTTAGAACACATTGACGTGACCAGCGATCGAAGTATCTCATGATGATCAGTCACGGCTCATCTCAAACAAGCTGTTGTTGAGAGGCGGATGCTCTTTATCGCTTGAATATGCTACTGAGGGCTCGATGTGATTTTACACCTGATAGAAAACCAACCATTTTTTTCCTTCTTTTAATACTTTTTAAATAATATTTCACAATTAATTCAAGATTTGGTAAATTATTCTGATTTATCTTTCAATTATTAAATTTATATATAATAATAAAATTATTATTTATTTATTTTTAAATTAAACAACTTGGAATGATAACAATAACAAGTAATATTGTTAAGGATTTATGAATAAAAGGAGATCAATAATTAGTTTCATTTAAAATCATTTATTGTTTTTATATAAAATATTTTCATATATATTTCTATATCATACCATTTTTTGTTCATAATAATATTAAAAAATTTCTATACAAAATCTTATATATTATACCTCACATAATTATTGAAGTCAAAAATATACACATACAGTGGTACTCGCCCTGAGTCGCGCATATTAAATAATATATTAATCATTTATTTTTATCATGTTTTTTTCAACATTTTTCCTATCAATAATATTTGTTATTATTGTCTGCTTTAAAGTTAAAATACTTTTAAATCGCGCGTACACAACACACCACACACGCTAGCATTTTTACTATATTTTACAATGACTAGGTTTTTTTTTATTAAATCTATTAATTAACAGTAAAAAAAAAAAAAAAATACAAATGGACGAATAGAAAATTCCTGATTTTATTCAAATACTTATTCTGTTCTTTCTAATTTCATTTCAATCGATTTTTGATTTTAATTTCTAGAAAATCAGAGTTAAAATAATTTTAACTTTCAGACTGTTTTTGAACTGTGTTTACTATTGTTAATACTTAAATAGTTATCGTTAAAGGAAATATTTACAAATTATATTATCAATTAAAGATAAATTACGGTTAGAAAAACAATTAGCGAAAGAATGACAATTTTTCGATAAATATATAAAAGATAAAAAAGTGAAAAAATTGACGAATACATTAAATGGCACGACAGTTCACGGGATCGCATCAAGCGTCACCTTCCGATTGACATTAAAATACACTGAGAAAATAAAAATAAGGCAGGGAAAATTGATAGTACGCAAGTATAAGATTAAATACTCTCGTAGGAAACATAACAAGTCTACTATTTCTGATTTGACATTGGGTCCATTATTAGATCAGTAATTTACTTTTCTAGCTTCCTACAGAGGTACGAAACATGTGAAAAACTAATTTTCCTCGGAAAAAAAAATAGCACACAATTCTTTGAAAATTCCACCAAGCAAAGGTTTGATTTTAAAAAAGGAAAAAATATTTCACAATTAAAATCAACACACGCGCATTTTTGTACTTAAAAACAGTCTGTTGTCTCTTCTTGCTTATGAGAAGCTGGTAATAAGGCACTCACGATGATAATGAACTGCTGCACTAACAACTGTAGCTCATAGAAACAGCCATACCAGGACATCCACCTTCTTGATGTTTGGTCAACAGAGACATTCTGCTGAAGGTTTTGCTACAGGAGCTGCACGAATATTTCTTTACATCACTATGAGTTTGCAAGTGAGCACGAAGATTAGATCGATCAGCGAAAGCTCGATTACAATGTTGACAGCTGAAGGGTTTCTCTCCCGTGTGTGTTCTAATGTGGCCTTGTAGAAGCCAAGGTCTGGAGAAAGCTTTTCCACAGAGATGACACTTGCACGGTAGTGTGTGAGTCCTAATATGCATCTTGAGAGCTCCAAGGCTGACGTAAATCTTTTCGCAATATTTACAAGAGAAGGATTTTTTAGCCTGACCTTCAGAGTTAACTGAACAGTGGAACTGTTGGTGTTTGGAAAGACCACTGTATGTTGAATAAGACTTGCCACAATCTGGGCATGAATACCTTGGAGATGTTGCCGTTGAAGGAGATGATGTGGAAGATGTTGGGGTGCTCATAACTGAAGTGTTGGTTTCTATTTTCATTAGAATAGTGGATCCTGCTGATGTACTGCCTGCCGACGATCGACCACTGTCACTTCCAGGTGATGATAAATCTTCTGGGGTAACTGGAGGTGGTGATCTGAGAGGTCCATATCCTAATGAAGACGTTGGAGATAAGGTACAATGCTCTGGACTTGAGTTGGCCCAAAAAGATCTGGCAATTGGTCGTTGAATCGTTGAACAAGTCAAAGTTGGTGGTGGTGGAGGTGGTGATGACACTGATGCATGTTCTGGCGATGAGTGTGGATATGATGGCAAGGGATATGATGGATAAAGTTCACTGGAATGTTGGAATCTGTAGGCCGGAGAATACGGTAAGTAGTGTGGTGGGTAAAGTGGTGCTGCTCTTGCCCATGCTGGTGTGGCATAATGAGCCACAGGTTCAACTGGTGTGTTTAAATTTAATGATTCAAGTGGTGGTTTGCTGGCAAGAAAATGAACTGGTGCACCACCGTCGTGTTGGATGACTTCAATCCTTTCTTTTTTGATGATTGGATGGATTGGAGCAATTCCTACTGGTGGAGTGATTGGCTTTGATGGGTATAAATGTTGATGTGGTGTCGGATGGACTGGAATCAATCGAACTGGAGAACTTGATTGTTGTCTTATCGTCCTTGGTGATGGAGATCGTGATATTGATTTTGTTGAACGATATTTCTCAGATGTTCTGCTCAAGTCTTCTGGTTTGGTACTCAGGTTTTCTGGCTCTGGGATGTCATCAGTCACCACATCAATGATTTCATCTTATATATAGTAGAAATTAATGATTCAAATAACTACTCAACTCATAATTACCATCAAACTCTCAACTTTTTGACTATTTTTAACATTCAACTAGATAAAAGATGCTTACCTTTGACAGATTCAGAAGAGTCTTCATACAAGACATGCACTGGCCGCTTTTTTAGCGGACAATGACTGTAACTATTATTCTTCTTGACAAAACTACGAGGCATTTCGTCAACGAGCATTTTCAATGAGTCCAAAAAATTAAAAAAATATCAATTGTTGTACAAAAATGAGTTGTCTCCCGGTAATCCAAGTGTGGGGAGATCAACAACAACACTCTTCACAGAAAGAATTCGATGAAATATCGTGATTGAATTCACAGGCACTTAAATACACAAAACATTAATAGATGAAATGTGACGATTGCTTGAGCGCACTCACGGCGAATGAATAGGAGACAAGGAAGAAAGGCCCGAGCGATGTATACGACTCGGCTGCAGGCCAGAAATTGACTAGATGGGGGAGCTGTCGGGACTTAAATAAGCACCGTCCCCTATCCCCTCTACTGTGCAGGTGCTCATCGCACGTGCGCTATAACCAATGCAGGCAATGTAGGCCCATGGGCCTTGCACTGTTCGCCAATGGGGGGAGACATTGTCGCGGGCCGCCAACCAATCGTCAACCTCACATCTGTTTCCCGTAGTAAGTTTATATCCCCCTCCCTCAATACACATATTTCGCTTTCTTTCTCTTCTCTACCTGGTTTCTTATGTGAGTCTTATGATTGTTCCGCTTGTGTCGTCGTCAGAGTCTGGACCATCAGCAGATGCTGGATTTTCTCTTCTCTCTCCCTTTGTTCCGATGCGATACAATCCGTGCACTATACTTGTCGTACTCGTTTCTTCGACTCGAGTAGACACACTTTTTATATGTATTAGTAAATGTAGATTTGTTCAAGATATAACTCCAGGATATATGTGCATGTGTAAATATATATCCGTTCCAAAATATTTGTTAAACAGCGAAAGTTTTTTTAGAAACTTTGAAGGCTCGTTTCTAACGTACTAATTGCCGTAAATCCTTCCCAAGTCATTTGTTTAAATCGCTCATAAGACGATCTTTCTGATAGAATTATTACATTTTCGATCTATACACATCTTCTATTTCTACGCGCCATTTTTTAATTCAGTCCAAGTGGATTTATTTCTAGATACTTTCATCTAATTATCGTAAACATTTGGTAGTATTTTAATCGTTGGGAAGACCATCTTTTGTCATGTATCCTCATCATTATCATCGCATGATTGCAATAAAGCTACGTAAGTTGAAAGCACAAATCTGAATAACACGATTGTCAATTTAACTTTAATAAGCAGATCTTATGATAAATATAAACATTTACAGGCTTGAGGGTATATATCACGATGGTGTGTATGTGTGAATATTGAGCACGTCGCGTGGGCGATGCCATGGCACGCGACATGACCGTTACACAGACGGTAATACTAGAGGGGTGAATTGAGCTGGCTGGTGTAGGGTGGGAGAACACATTAATGAAAAGGTAGGTGGTTTGTAGAGAGGGGGCTCTTTAAGAGTCCTCGGTGCTGTGTACTAGACAGAAATGTATACATTGTGATTCATTATGGTAAATGGAAGATAGAAAAAGTTATGGATATCGACGTATTTAGGTGGACAACCAATCAGAGTGTGGTCGGTATATAAAGAGGAGAAGCATTACGACACATATACCCTTTGTTAACGGAAGATACAAAAATTATCTTTTAATAAATCAATTCATTTTATTTGCGGAATATAAATTAACAATTGCAATTGAAGATATTACTTTTTCTTCGAATTAAAAACTATTTAAGAATCTTTTTTAATTTATAATTAAATGTTGGAAAATTAAAGTTTATTTATAATATTTCTGGATAACAATGTTATATGTCGTTGAAAATTATGAAAAGGATAAATAAAAAATCATAAATTGTTTATAACGGAATCCCAAGGTGTTACAGCAGGTAGCAAATATATTCAACGGACCACGGCCTCTTCATCAACAAAATTTTCAACGACCTGCCGTTAAATATAAGCCAACAAATAAAATCTAAAAGGGTTACCTGTCGCTTATATAATGCATTAAAAACTGGTATAAACCCTTAGACTCGTTTGATACCTGGTAAAAATCTCAAACAATGGACTCTGGTACCACAACGTCGTGGAGATTATAAAGAATAAGAAAAAATACGAGAGAAATAGTATACTTTACTTGTGCGTAAAGAAGAAGAGTTGGTATTAAAAATATAAAGGTACTTGCCTGGTGTCTTTTTGTTATGATATTACTGACATTCTTTTCGTGAACAAGGTGCAAAAGGGTAAAAAATTCAATAAGAAGAAAATGAGGGTGAGAAACGACTGAAATTTTGTTGGTATAAAGTCGCCTCACAGCCAATATATGAGAATGTGCACTGGAAAAACCGGGAGCACAGGTTTGTACTTGTCTGTTGGTAAATTACACCGAGGGGTTTATTACTTGAAGTACAGATTTGAATAATTTATTGTTTTATTTACTGAATTTTGAAAGTAGTAAGACGGCCAATCAATCACTAAATATTCTTTTTAAACGATAACATCATAACATTTTCTTTTCAAATTAGAAAGTAGCAGAAAGGTGCAATGATTTTATCAAAAGTCCACTCTCTTAATTTTTTTTCGCGTAACAAGGGATGATTGAATTATTATTATGAAATATTCTTATTCAAGTAAATAAATCAAGCTTTAAAATAAGCCTAGACGCACCTTGATTCGACCATTTTGCACTGAGATAAGTCGATTCGAATATTAAAATATTTTTTTTAGCATCTAAGAGATTTTAAAAAATTTCTAAGATAATTTTCAAACAATACTTAATTGAGAAATATAATCAAAATTACAACATTTCAATTTTTTCTAATTAACGTTAGATAGTTCATTATCATTGTAAGGATAATTGTATCTAATTTACTCTTTAAAAAAGAGACAGTTTTTTTTTCACTTTCATTACATCGATTTTTCCTTTTTCATCTCTCCCATTCCGTCGCTCGTAGTATCAAACAGGAGTCGGCGCACATGCTCGGCTGCTTATACAGATGAAGAGGCATCAAGAGCCCCCAAAAATGGGTCCATGACTAGTCCCAGTGGGGCCAAACCTTATGCTTGGCACATATGGTAGTATAATATATCCAGCGGTAATAGCCAGGTGTTTCGAAAGGTGAGGCTACGGCCTTTCCCTCTCTTTAGCTCATGTCTCCCTTATTTCTACCTCACACCATGTATTGCAGCACAAAAAATAAACCAGCTTCCTTCCGATGGGGCCAACTACCGGTGAGTCTCAAGATCAACGACGAAAATGTTGCCATTGAAATACATACACCTCAATATAACCATTTCTTTATATATATAAATCTTGTCGATAGTATGTAATCTCATAATTACACACTGAAATATCTCCATAATTTCTAGCACTTTAGACCTCATGTTCCAGGAAGTCAACGTTTTAATGCTGTTTGTCGAATATTTTTTTACGCTTCTAAAAATTTTAATTTTATTCTTCTCATCAATTTAAAGTGTTTAATAATAAATTTATACGAAACTAATTTATTGGACCTCCTTATCCTAGAAAAAACCGCCATTACATTACTTTTAATTAGCCTTTTCTTTGCTAGCTTACTTGCAATATTTTTTCAACTAAAATAATTTGATTTGGTAAAGAAAGATTTAAACACTCGGGGATTCTCAAAAAAATTCAATGCTCTTTAAAAAATTATCTATGATTTTTTCTCTCCTAAAATAACATTTTCCTAATATTGATCTACCACTTGAGACTATCACTGAATTTTATTTTTCACTTTTATCGATACTATTTACTCATCTTCCTGCTCCGAAATACGAACCTCTCAGTCATCATCATTACTCAGCAAAAATAATTAATAACATTTTCTTTTCAGGTAAAAATAAATTCTTTGTTACTTTTCATCCCTACTTTCTCTTCTGAATCAGGCACATTTAAGGACAAGAATCCTTTCTGACTAGTCTATCCATGGCTGTTATATTAACCGTAACATATCTTCGTCTTTATCTTTGTTTACTTCTTCATTTCGTTTCCTTTGTGACTAACATAATCTGCGCCCTTTTCGCTGCCAGTTCTTTTATTTACCGGCTTCTCTTTCTTTCGACATCACCATCTGACAGTAAATTTTTACCAGCTAAGTAACACAAGAATTTTAGTAAAGTAAATAAAAATTGGTGATTTTTTCAATGATTCATTCTTAATTTCTAGATGATGAAGCTCAGGACAATGCCGAGAGTATTAGTGAGGTAGAGAAACACTGATAGTGTCAAAGAACTTGACAATAGCATCAGAATTTTAAACTTGAAATTTTATATTTAAGTGCAGGCATCAGCAATTGTCTAGTAGTCTGCTTGTTTAGTGACACTTAATACAATTATTTCATCATCGTTTTTTCTGAGATGTTGGCGCAGAAAGAATCTCTTTAATAAACACTTGACTCATACATTTTATTGTTTTAATAACATTATCATATTTCTATGTAAATACATGTTATTAATCATGAATATTTATTACAGTTCATGTTTGTCAACTAATTTTATTTTTTAACAAATCTTGAAGAAATTTTTAAAAATTTAGATTATTTTCAGCATGCTGTAATTTTTTTTGAATTTATTTAATATCAATGAATTGGGGCTCAGATTAAAGCTTTAATTCTCTCATTTTCGGAACACTCCAATAAAATTTTTTGATCATTTTCCAAAGCTCTGAAAAAAATTTTCAAAGAACAAGAAAATTGAGACTTTGTTTTTCAGGAGTTTAAGTAAATGGAAGCTCGTTTGTTCCAAGAATTATTTTATTGAAAAAAATTTTTTTCCAAGATTTCTTATGTGGTTTTATTGATAACGAATCGAAGTCGAGAAGCAGGAAGAAAAAATATCCAATCATCTGTCTAGAGATTGAAGCTGCAGATGAGCAGATGTCTTATTGTATACACACTACAAAATATTCATCTTTGTGAAGGGTGACAACTTCCCTCCTCTTCCTCTTTCTATTTTTTTTATGTCGTTCTTTTCCGTTCATTCTCCTTCCTTGCTTATGCACCCTTCAACCTAAGTCAAATCCAACGACCCCCCAAAACTCCAGTTTTCCCGCCAATTTGCAGGTGAACGACCCGAGAAAAATATTATTTTATCTTTATCATAATCTACCACAATTCCGTTATACCTGTTCTCTACTTGCACAAACTTGTTACTTTTCATACGATCTATAAGTCCCATTTTGGCCAAAATTATTTATATATCAATTTTTATACTTGAAAGATTATTTTAGAATTTTTTTTAGAAGGAAGAGTCAGTTGAGAACAAAACAATGACATGTAATGGACTCAAAAAAATTTAATAACGCTCCCAAAGCATTTAAGACATTAAAAAAAAACATT